ACCAAAGTGAAGCCAGGAAGCCTCATAGCTGTCTCCACAGCAGCACCAGAAAAATACCATAATCTTGCCCGAAATAACTGACTTTCTTGTCCTTAAGATTACTCAAATTCATATTCTCAGATATCGTATAAATGGTCATTAATCTATATCCTCTTCCTATGGAGAAAGAGGAATTTAGAAGAGAAAAGAGTCAATACAGGAAGGATATCTAGGATGTGCAAACTAATTCTGCTGGTCACAACCTCCAGGAAATGAAGGTATTACTTATTTTCTGCACCAGTTAAAAAACAGATGCTTAAGAGACATCTCTATATTTTAACAACACACACACACACAGAAAGAGAGAGAGAGAGAGAGAGAGAGAGAGAGAGAGAGAGAGAGAGAGAGAGAGAGAGAGAGCCACAGCAGCAAATCTTCACTATATAATGGTCAGTGGGTTTCTGCTGATGGAACATGAAACTTCCAAAATTACTTGAAACACCAAATTACACTCAGGACTTGAGGGGCGGATACCCTGTGTTCTGTTTAAAGTGTATGTTCCATTGCATATATTTTTTTAACCAAGTATGTCTTTATTTTAATAACAGGCCAAAGGCTAAAAACACTTTCGCAAAGAGCAATTTTTCTACCTCAGCAAAACTACAGAGGACACGTTAGCCTGTTAGATGACCCTAAAACCTAAGTTCATACTCTTCTTAAAAGACCTTAAACCTTTAGATTTACAATAATAATAATAGTATAGATAGGAGAGGGGAGTCTTCTCTCTGGAAACACTGAGTCCTACCTACAAACATATGTTCCAACTGCCAGTGTACCTTACAGCATTCATCCTTGGAAACAGAGCTCTGTCCATGTCCCAGGGTTGACAATTCTATTTCTAAGTATTTTATACATTTCAATATTATATAAATATCTGTACTCTTTCCTACTGACACCTTTCAGAAAGTAAAATGATTGTTCCTCTGCAGCTAATAGCGTGTCTACACCTGACCTGATCCACATTTCCTTGACTCTTAATCGAAAAGGAAATGTTCCACATGTAGACAATTAAGCTAACTGTTGTTGTAGTAGATGTTTGCCTCTAAATGAGGTCCTGCCTAACAATCTTGCTCATATTTGTGTCTGTTCGAATGCATCAAGTGTGTACTGTAAATGATGCTTCCCCCTTGCAGCAGGAAGGCTATGTGCTTGAGCAGGCCTGGAAGCGAGGGCAGCCATCTACTTCAGGCAGTTTTGCTATCAAGTAACTTCAGCCAGCAGTTCTCCAATAAAATCCAATTACTTTTACAGCAAAATGTTTTTCAAAAATAAGCAATTTTTTTCTCAGAAGGAGCAGGTATTTCAATAAGACATTCACCATATTTAAATTCTACCCCCTCAAAAAAACTAAATATTTAACACCCCCTTTAAAAAAAAACATTAAAAAATCATAGGAAAAAAAAAAGAAGACCAAAAAGATCTGTGATGTTTAATGCCTCCTATCAACAAATACACCATCTGGTAGAGCCAAGTGCTGTCCATTCAGTTTAAATAAAGCTGTCTGAAGGTTCCTCTTGAAACCAAACATTAAAAAGTGAAAATGCTTGTGTTAACAATGAATGGACACAACAACTCAATGCTACTAAAGGACCACTGGCCAGCCCCTTCTAGCAGTCCACAAGGGCAGAGGCCTGGGACTCCCCTACAGCCCCATTTTTATTTTGGGCTGGCCGAGGCATTCCACACAGCAGAATTGTTTTAGGGGTTCAGGGTCACCTGATTCTCAGTTAATTCATCTTTAATAATGCCCTCTTTTTCTACGTCTTCAAATGGATCTGTAAGTTTTAATCAACAATTTCACAAATATAAATTTCCCCACCATTAATCATTCTTTCCCCAAGTCCTTATGGAGTGAATTACTAGCTGAGAGGGGATGCCAATTCTAGTAAGTGAATGTCACCCAGCAGGGATATAAAGCTGTCAACACCACAGGGCTCTTGCCTGTCTAAATTCTCTCCCAGCCTTCATATGTTTTTTAAAGAGATATTAGCCTTTTTTTTTTCCTGAGGACCTTCTACAAAAGCTGTCATATACATCTGAGCACTTCCATTTCACTGCAGGCACGCTTTGAAAACACAGGTAAGTAAAGAGCAGAGATGTCCTCGGGGACAGGGGAAGGGCAAAGCAGCTAATGGGCTGACCACATAGTAAACAAGGCACTGAGCTAGCCTAAGTTTCTTCTTGAAAGACAACTCTAGAGACTGACTGTGAGGGAGCATCCACCACTGCAACTGGTTCAAACCAGACACTACGAGAATGCTCTCCCACCCTTTTTTTTTATGAATATCTAAGTCTCATCAAAAATCCTAACAAGTTCCCACTCTTTAAAAAGGAGAACAGCAACAGACCTTACTCTTGCAGCCAACCAAAAACATTTATCTCTCCCTGCTTATCAAAAGCAGTGGGATAAATTGCTATTTTACTGAGCAACCAATTAGCGTAACGATTTCCCCTATTTCTGTGAGAAGAACAAATTTCAGGAAGGGCTCAAAAGAAATAAGGCATGTGCCCCTCAGTACTGAGCTCTGTGTATGCATGTCCATCTTCATGGAATAATTTAAAAAATGACTCAGCTATAAATATTTTTGTGGTTGTCTATCTTTGTTTTATGAAGAAAATTCAACAAAACATATAGGATGGTAGAAAATATAATCTATTATATATTTACCCTAATATTAAAAGAAAAAAGTTTCAATGAGAAAGTATTTCTAACTAGAAATATACTTTGAAATTTTTAAATTTAAAATATACATTTTTAAAAGGCTTGACTTTCCTCTAGACTATATACATGATTAGACGTTACAAAGAAATAAAGTTATTAACATTTTGGTATACATGTGGAAACTTTGTAGACTGAAGGCAACAAAACAATTATTAACATTCAGTCGAAAATCTCATTACAAAATTTTATATTCTAAGATGTTATATTTTGAAGGTCTCTAATTTTTTCCAAAGAATCTATAATGCTATAGAGAATTGAGCTTCCTTTAAAAGAATATTTAAAAGTCCAGCACACACAAATCTACCATGTACACTCTTACTGTTAAGTACTGCCAAAGTTGTGTATTAAGGTAAAATGCTGTCACTGCATTTCCAGTTTGGGAGGCTTCTAATAGGATCCTCACTCTTTCTAAATTAAGTGGAACCTCCAAGGTGGTGAGTAGAGAAGTTTATTGAAATAAATCTAGTATTCTTCACAAAGGCAATAATTTTAGTGTGAACCAAATTTAGAGCCCATGGGCAAATGCAACTATAATTTCAGAAAACTTGCAAAGGAAGTAGCACTCCACACTAAAGGCACCCTGATCAACAGACTGAGGTAGTTTCTTCCATAGTACATTATGACAGGGAAGAAACTTTGTTGAAGGGCAGCAAGACTTCTAGCAGCTACATTCTAAACCTTGAAGACCTCAGAGAGCTTAGATCCTGCAGTAAAGTAACAAAAAGAGACAGAAACTTCAGGTCTAAGATTTTTCTTATATAAAAGGAGACTTTCAGAATACCCTTTCTCCAAGGAGTTCCAAAACTGTTTTACCTGACATTAGCAGCACACACAGCATCCCAAGCTTGGTCCTACCATATCTGTGATGTATTCCTCTCCATCATGTGCATATAGGTGATTACACAGCAAGGCTGTAATCATTGCTCCAATCTTAGAACAATGCACTCCTGAACCCCACGTTTGAAAAGTGAGTTACAGTATAATCGGGGCTTTTTTCTTGATTTCTTTTTTTATCTCATTAAAAGTATATTTTCATATCTCTAAAAGGTACTATACAGAAGTCAAATCATGTTTTCAAAACCTTAAAAATTGAGAGGAAGGTTCCTTCTCAAGAGAAATGGCCAATTTAAATAATTAAGGCAAGCGACCATTACTGTCTACCACAAAGAAAAATAGTAAAATAATTAAAAACAGATAAGTGTCATCTTATTAGGTACATAGAGATGCTGCAAACTAAGTATTTACTCCAAAATTCAATATACAGCATGGACACGAGGGTGGGACCTCATCACCAAGCTTTACCATGAATTTTTATCATTTTATGCTGGTCAGTATAAAGAAATACATTAAACATGTTGCTGCTGGAAATATCTGGGTTGAAGGGGAATCTCGAGCATAATAAAAATAAAGGAATAATTTATCCCAAACAAAAAAAAAGGTTGAATGCCACGTAAAATTGTACATTTCATATTTAAGAGACAGCTAGTTGACTGGCCTGCAACCCCAAAAAATATTTTAGTACTTAAATTTTTTCTATGGTCCTATTTTGTAAGATTACTTTACTAACCACTTTTAAAGAAAGTATTTGTAGAAGTGATGAAAACATCAAAAGGCTGTCTTTAAATAATATTTAAATTTTGGGTGGGGAAGCAGCAGGCAGAAAATAAAGTTGCTTGCTATTTTTCACCCAATTCTCTAATTCCTAACAAAGTTACAAACGCCGGTGTCTAGACTCTGCAGGCAACTTCAGCATCACATCCACTAAGAACATAATGGATTTACGGTACTTCTGTTTTTCCTAGAACGTGTGTCTCAGCACTGTCCCAGCTACAAAAGAACACCAATACCATCGCCCCTGCTCTAGCCTGATTCTCTCTGTGTGTGTGTCCCACTAAAATCGAGGCATACAGGCTCCAGTCCTAGAACAGATCCGAGGCAAGGCAAAGGAGTTAAACACGAAAGAGCTCTCTAGGAAAATCTAGAAACAGTTAGCTGGCTGTGACACAGACCTGCCAACACCTCAGCACACGGTGGCAAAGTGCCCAAAAAATGCCACCCTCTGGGTAAACCACTTTCTTGTTTTAACTCGAGATGAAGCTACTACCAGTTGCGGAGAGGCGACTAGGGCATTATTTGGCAACCTGGATTTGACTTCCTGTAATCCTACACCGAAACAGCGCCTAATCAACCTGAACCCTGACACCCAGGCCATTATCACAGGGCCTCCGGCTGCGCGCACCTCCCAGCTCCGGGCTGTTACCTCCCACGGCCTTGGCCACGGCGCCGTTGGGCCTCCCGCGGGCTCCCATGGGGCTGCCGTTCTGCTCCAGCCGGGCCACCTTCACCGGGGGAGGCCCCTTGACGTCGGGACTGCCGCTCCTTCGGTCGGGGCTGTCCCGCAGACACGGGCTCTCGCTCCGCCGCTCCATGCTGCTCCGATTTGGAGACAAAGTTCCCACCGGCAGGTCGCAATAAAACGCACAGGGACCTAGGGAGGGGGCGGAGGGGAGGGAAGGGGGAGGGAAAAAAAAAGAGGGAAAACCGCTCACACACGTGATAGACGATCAGGCCAGTGGCAGAGCACTGCACCGCAGCCACACAAACTTCCTCCCACGCTTCAGAAGCGTCCCAAAGGGTCCCGGGGTAACGGGTCCCAACCTTACACTGGAGGCCCCAAAGCTGCCCAGAACTTGAGGTACTGAGACCTGCTCAGTTGCAGGTCCCAAGAGTTAGCCCTCAATGGCATGGACAGAGTCGCAGTTCACAGCATTGGAGCTCCATTCATAGCGGGCAGCGCTGGCATTAGCCCTTCTCCGATGGAGAGCCCTCCGCCCCCCACTTGGGGGTGGTCAGGGTTTTGAAATGAGAGTACTTCAGAGCAAGAGGTCCCACCCGGCCTGGGAGGGAGCCAGGGCATACACGGATCCTTAAGCAAATTAATTGCTTGATAAATGTACTGTGATGGGCCAGGCAGGAGCCAAAGACTTGATCAATGGATTCATGGAATCCCTGCTTTTTACCTTTATGGATCAAGTACACAGTATACAAGTACATTTGTGTACACACACACACACACTTTTGCACAAAAAAATAGCTATAATTCCACAGGAATGAGCATCCTAAACACTTTGGGGTTTGTAGGCTCTCCTCCATCACAAGATTACAATTATTTCCGAGCATTCTTATCTTCATCCGATCTTGAGTGCTTTTTAAAAAGCCAATAAGTATAAAACATAAGCGAAAGAAATTTAGATTATCGGGTGCAGAAGCAGCCCTCATTAGTCCTAATTTCTAAATCTGGGAAGTTTTTCTCGGGGTTCCTAGGCGGGCAGCGCTCCCCGCAGCACTCTTCAATTTTGGAGGAGTGACCCGGAAGAAGGGAAAACACCTGATGAAACGGCGCCCCAATTGTCACTGACACTCGGGAGAGGAACCCCCAATACACCTGGGGCGCTGAGAATCCTCCAGGGCGCTTTGGACGCGGGAGGAGCCTGGGCGCCGCGGGTCGAAGAGACAAGGTAGGGGTGACAGAGAGGGAAGAACGATAGAGATGTAGGGAGTGTGCGGAGGGTACCGAGAGAGGGTTCCACCGCACTTCCCGGCTTCGCCTAGGGCGCGGGAGAGCCAGAGCCAGGGACGACCGAGGAACTTAGCGCGCCCCGGACTTCCCGAACTCCGGCGCCGCGCTGGAGCCCTAGCCCAGCGTACTTACTGCTCACGGTCTGTCTGAAACTTGGCTGGCTGGGGCTCTGTCCATGGAGCAAAAGTAGAGAATCCAGGGTGGAAAGTTTCTGGTGATTTGCAGTGTTGTCCTAGTCTTCCTTTCTCTTTCCTCTTTCCCCTTTCCTTTTCCTCTTCCCCGGGTCCTAGCGTTTAAGGACCTGGGTCAGGGTGTCTTCTGTTCGGAGATGGTTGTTATGATGATGGGGGGGATGAGGGAGGAGGAGGAGAGGGAAAGGAGGACTCCTCCTAAGGGGCACCCGAGCGAGCGGGGGAGGGGACGGCGGAGGAGGGGGAGAGAGGGGGCTGAAAGAGCCTTTCACACCTTCGGGAAGGAGACCGGTTCTGGAGAGAAAGGGCTGAGGACTGGGAGGCTGCAGCGGCTGCCGGCTCGTGCCGCCACTAGCTCGAGAGGAGGCGCGGCCGGAACCGCGGGGACCGCGCCACCGAGAGCAGAGAAGGCGCGGAGACCCCGGACAGTGCGCAAGAGAAAACGCGGCGGCCGCCCAAGCTGTCACCTCCAACCTCTCCCCTCGCGGCCGCCTCTGCCAGAAGCCAGAGCCGGACTCACTGACAAGCCGCAGAGAGAGACACACTGAGAGGGAGATGATTATTAGTTGCGTTGAGTCATCAGGCAAAGTGAGTCCTTTTGGGTTGTCCTCGGTTTCCGATTTCTCCCCCTCCCCCCTTTCGGTCCCCAGATCTAGCGCCTTCAAAATAATAATTTGGGGTGGGGGTAGGGGAAGTCTCTGGGTTATTTCGGGATGGGAATGGGGGGGACGGATCTAAACCCAAGCCAGACTGGTCCACCGCAAGGAAGGAGGGGAGTGGGGGGCGGGGAGGAGGGCTGGGGAGGTTGCGGGGGGAGGGGGGCCCCGCCTGGCAGGAAATTAAACATCAATCAATCAATCGCTGTGAGCACGGCGACCCAAGAGCCGGGCTGCGGAGGAGGCATAGGGATGGGCGAGGGGGTGGGAGGCAGGGAGAAAGGAGGAGGAAAGGGAGAGTCGGCGGTGGGAGTGGGGTGGCAAGGACCTCATGCACCGGGCGACGAAGGACGGGTGGCTGAGGACTGAGTGCGGCGCGAGGCGGTGGCCACGGCCGGCGGATGGGTGCGTCTGGGCGCTGACGAACGCCAGGGCCCAGGGTCTGGTCCTCCTCCTTGTGGCAAGTCCAGGGAGCAGTCGCCTCGCCCAGCCCCTAGGCGCACTCGTCCCGGCGCGCAGGCTGCGGCGACTAGGCGGGCGCTCGGTGTCGCGGCTCGCCGCAGAGGCGCAGACTGGCGCGCGGGAGGCGGCAGACGCTGCCTCGTCTCCGGGCTCTGCTAACTGCGCCGAGTACTTTCGACTTTGGAGATAGGAGGGCGATCGCCTCCCCCACCCACCGCCTCCGCCCACCACCCACCGCCTCCGCCCCTCGGAGCAACTTTTCTCGGTGCGAGCGAGCTCCACAGCTGCTCCGAGCCGACCGGCCCGGCCCGGCCCGCTGCGCTCCCCGGCGCGCGTGGGGAAGGCCGCCTCTCCCTCCGATCGGGCGCGGCCGCGGGTCCGAAACAATAGCCCGGGTGTCCCGAACGCCTGGAGCGAGCCACCGCCCGCCGGGCTGTGGGTGGCACTGGAGAGAGGGCTGCTCGGTGGGCGCAGGGTGGGATGCATCCCTGCCACGCTCGCCACGCGGGCGACGTTGTGAGCGCCACTGCTCGGGCCGGCCGGAGGCCAGGACGCGGGGCCGGCCGGGGCGCTGGGGCTGCGCGCCCTCGGGTTGCCGCATTAGGGCTCCCGAACACAACCGAGTTCAGGAGCGAGCCGAGCCGAGCCGTGGGGACCCAGCCTGTCCCCCGCGAGCGAGGCCGTGCCGACGCGTCCCTAGCCAGTCCCTCCAGGGCTTAGGAACTGCAAACTTTTGCGGACTCCCGCGGCCCTCGCCTCCCGGCTCCCGCCGAGGTGCTGGTTTAAGGTGGCGCGAGCACTGCCCGCCCAGACCCGACTCCGAGACGCGCTTTTGTCTTGACCGTCCGGCTGGGACGCGGACCTCCTTAAGAATAAGCACGTGGGCAGGGGCCGCCTGCCCCGGCGAGGTGCCGGCTGAGTCGGGCGGCTGTCAGCCTCTGGGACCTCCGAGGAGATAATATGAATCAGTCCTCTCCGGTCTTCGGGCCAGAGAAGCCCCTTGAGCCGGCGGCACCTCCTGTCCCTCCTGTGCACCGGGGGCTCCCTCCTGGTCCCCAGGACCCCAAGGACTTGCTCCCACCGCTTGCCAGAGCCACTAGTCCCCCTTAAGAAGCGTTGGCTGTACGGCGGCGCCAGAGGGCCAAACTAAATTCGGTTTCGGGAAACGCGCTCGGGGCAATTCTCTAAATCCCGGGCCCGAGTTGAGCCAGTGGAGGTTGCTTCGGAGAAGAGTGCTGGAGACCCAGCTGCTGTCCAGTCGCTTTGTCACTCCCCACCACCACCACCACACCTTACGCCCCAAGGGCCCCAAGATCACGGCCCGCGAGGCCTGAGGGCTTCTGAAAGAAAAAGGGTCCCAAAACGAAACCAGTCCCTGGCCTAGATCTGGGTGCCCAGAACTCGGTGAGTCCCCCTCCGAGGAGCCGCCCATCAACTTCACTAGAAGCCCAAGGAGACTGGGGAGGAGAGCCTGGTCGAGCGAAGGCAAGCAGGGTAATAACCCTCCGCGGACCCACCGCAGTTTTAGGAAGCTTTTTTCTTTTCCATGTTATTTTTTTTTTCTTCCACAAATTCCATGCCCACCTACAAGACCAGCCAAAGGGGCTGAGAAAATTCGAAGCCCGTGAAAGCAAAGTGACTCAAGTAAGTCAGCCCGTGAAGGTAGCTAAAAGAGTTTTGGAAGCAAAGAAAGAAACTGTAAGTTGATCGACTCGACAAAAAAAAAAATCTGTAAATAGCATATCGAAATGAGAAAGGGGTGTTTCAAAAACTTAACTATCACTGTCAAACTTAGCCCATGTTTAAAATGAGGAATACACACGCCTTATTTATATATTAACAACAAGTCCCCCGTTTCCTTTCTTACCTTGGTGTTGGAACTGCGGAATCCACCTCCAGGCCAATGACCACGAACTAAGAAGAATTGATGATATTAGGACTTCAACACTTCTGGAAAAAAATGCAAATCGTTTGGTGGGGATCTTTTTTGTCTGATTCGTCAGTATTATTATATCTGATGATGCGAATGGCTGAAACGATTCTATCCTAAGTCATTAATGAACTATTTTATAAAAATCACAGTCGGAGAAATCTTTCTTTGCATTTTCCTAAGGATCACTTCGCTAACCTCACAGGCTTGCGTCAACAGCATGATTATGGACTTCGGCTACACTCTTATAAACAACACGGCAGTATTGTTAATCAGTTAATATTTTATAAAGCGTAAATATTTTATTATAGTTTGAAGGGAACTATTGATTCTAAATTATTAAAAACCCCAGAATACTATTTAAATAAAGTATACAATTAAGTACAATTAAATGTGCATTGTGGATAGAGTCTACAGCCTTTCAAATGCATTTATTTCTCTTGTCTATTTTTTATAATGAAAAGTAAATCTACCATTTGGGACAAAAAATGTTTAAGTTATTTAAAATCACATTTAAAAATAAATAAATTACATTTCATATGCATAAAAATGTCAAATTCGATGTCATTACCAAAATTGTACTTTGAATGTTGGCACATTTATTTTTAGTAGAGCATTCAAATTTCTCTCATTTTGCAAAAGGAGAATTCTAGAAAGTTTTGCCAAGTATGCCCTGTGTGAATTTTTTCCTTTAGTTTTTGTCCCTAATACAGGCCTTTTCTGTTTCAAGTTATATATGCTTTTCCCAACCTAGTTTTGTCATTGACCTCATTCCAACTAAAGCAATTATTTCAAACGCTTATACTTTCTACAGTAAGATATATTTTAAATAATACCTTTAAAACTTTTTGTCATTTTAAAAACAGTAAATAAATACATTTGATGATCCAAAAAATAGTTTGGTTTCATTTTGTATTCCCTAGGATGGTTTAGTTCCAAACATTTTTTGAAACAAATAAGGCTTTTTTAAAATGCTATAAGTTCATTTGTGTTTTTAAATAAGTAGTCCAACACACACACACACACACACACACACACACACACACACACACACACTTGGGAAACAGTTTCCCCCATGCTCAGAAAGTAAGTTTGGGGGGTAGGGTATGCCTCCTCAGTTTGCTTCTGACCTATATTTTTTGAGGAGAACTCTACACAGACTTTTCTAGGGTTTTCCTGGCCCTAATTTTTCCCCTTATGTAGTCAAAGGTCGCCTGCCTTTCACAACCACACTGTTATTGTTATTTATTATTTATTTTAAACAACAACAAAAAGCAAAGGGACTTTCTAGGCTGGCATTCAATGCGCATAGTTTTTTTTTCTTTCCCGACTGTTTTTCTTTCTTCCCAGGCCTAAGCCCTCTTAGGGCCTGAACTTTTAATGTCAATTTTGTTTGATTTCTCCTTGCCACCTTTGAGGTTTTGGCCTTGTGGGTCCTCCGACCAGGTAAACCTTCCAAGATGTGCTGTCGGTGGACTACCTAGGCCTGCCTGCCCTGGTAGGGCGCCGAGTAGATTGCCAAGCTCACCGCACCTCAGCTTTCAGGCTGCTGGCTTAGAAGGTCTGAAGGCCCGGCATTTAGTCCTCAGCCTCTGTGGCTCTCAAGTCTGGTCACCCAGGCAAAGACTCCTTTCCAGAGGTGCGCTGCCTTTTATGGAACCCTGGGAGTTTGTGCTGATTTTTTTCCTCCCACCCAGGACACTCATTTAAAACTTCCTGGGAACCACCACCTTAAAAGCCTATGATGACGGTTAATGGCTTCTAGGAACCAAAACAACGGGCCAAATGCTTCTCCAGTGGCTGGCCCCACTAGGGACAGGATGGGGGCGTGGGGTAGTCATTTCTTTCTAAGGATGCCCGGTGTCATGTCTGAGGCCAATTTCCGTTTCGGACGGTCCGTGTAAAGTTAGGCAACCAACATTTTAAAAGCATGTGCCGCTGCGTTTAGCTTGCCAGCCCAGCGAGTCAAGTGGAAGGGGCCAGAGACCAGGGTGCAAGGGGACCAGAAGGAGCCTGGAGGGAAGGCAGGTCCGCTAGGATGGCTTACTTCCTTTCTCGGACTACTCTGGGGACTGACCAGTGCACTAGGGCAGGGGAAACTTGCTACATTATCACCCACATTCCTTTTTGGCATCAAACACCAAGGCGTCAATCCGTGTCCAGCAAAGATAAAAAGACTCCTTAGCCTCTCTAGGGGCCTAGGTGTGGGCGGGGCAGCCTAAGAGGCGGTGGGTTTCTCCGAAGGACCTCAGAGGAACATGCCTCTGTGGCCTGGTCAGAGATGAGTCGCGAGCAACTTATTGGGAAAGGAAGGTGGGGAACTAGTCTGTGGGAGCCGAGCTGCCAAGGTGTCTGGAGTTGGAATGAATTTAAGGCAACCCTCTGCGCCAAAGCCCGAGGGACAGAGAGTTGCTCGGTTAACTGTGGCAGGGAAGCCCTTTGGCTTTCTGACTGAGGTCCTAGGTGACAGAGATGAGCATGTGGTGTGACCCGGCTTCCTAGGAGGAGGGTCGTGAAGAGGCAGGTTTCAGAGCCGGCATGAATGAAGGTTTGATGTCAGGTTCGCGGTCACCAGGTGGTAAGTCCGGGAAAGGCAGCAGGCACCGCTGGCGACACAGGACAATTTCCCTCCACGCCAGGGCTCCCGGGATCCGACGCTCTTTTTCAGCGTCTTAAAGGGTAGTTCTCCTGCCGCGGCAGGGCAACGGGGAAACGACTGCCCCGCTAATGTAACCCAAGTGTAGAAACCCACTATAAATGCTGGAAATTAGTAAGGCAGAGGAAGGAGAAAAGGCCAAAGGAGCTGCTGCGGCCACTCGCTGCGGGTGGCGCGGGCTGCGCTGTTCCTCTTTGGGACCAATCCAGGCCGAGGAATTCCCACCCAAAGCAAAGAACTAGAGGCCAAGGCCAGTTGTCAAGGTCCCTCCACCTCCAAGACCAGGTCACTGCCAGGGGTCCCCACCCAGAGCACAGGCGATGTCTCCCTACAGCGCCACCGCGTGGGCTGCGCCCAAACCGGCTGAGCCGGCCGGAGCTAGCCCTTCCGCAGCGCAGAGCGGAGAATCCTCAGGTTAATGAGGCGCGGAGCGGGTGCGGTCCCTGCCCTAGGGAGCCATCAGACCACCTAACACCAAGATGTAACCGCCCGCGGA